TTAAAGAGAGACAAAATGGGGGGAAAATCCAGAAAATCACATTGTCTGATTTTTAAAGAGAGACAAAATGGGGGGAAAATCCAGAAAATCACATTGTCTGATTTTTAAAGTCTGATTTTTAAAGAATTTATTTGCAAATCATACAGGCCTCTCTCATCTTTTTAAGTGGGAGAACTTGCACAATTGGTGGCTGATTAAATACTTTTTTGCCCCACTGTACCTCCTGTTCAATTTTTCACATGCATTGTGTCAATTTCAAGTAGCTTTCCCTCATTCCCTTATTATATAGTTAATAACATGCTTACTTGCCTCAGGACAGCTTGGATAACAAGGCTTCACATCCAGAGCAATATTAACCTTGGTGGCTTTGAATGGACATTGGTTGTATCAAATGTGGAATAACTTAAGAGTTTGATAAGAAACAGTGTGATTTACTGCATGTTTGGGCCGTGTGTTGACTTCACGTGTTCCCCTCAAAACCCCTCTCAATATAGAATTGAACAATAGTGGGAGGTGTTATTTTTTTGCCCAGGAATACTTTTTTCCACTGTGGCTTTAATAAACTATAACTTGGGGCAGGGTCTCTCTCTCTGTATCTGTTACTATGTAGATTTAAAAAACGAAAGATTCTGGTCCTGCTTGTTTCATGCCATTTTTCCTTATGCCTATGCTTCCTCAACCTGGTTGCCCTATTCCTGTTATTTCTAGTAAAGATAATAATAGTGAAAGGATAAGTCAGAATATTGGACTAAGGCTGTAGAGACCCAGTCCTCATACTCGGCTGTGAAACTGAATTAAGAAACATAATTTTGATTTTGCATGAGTTTTAAAAACTTTAGGTAGCAGTAAGAACCAGGTCTATCATGTGCATAAAGAGGGTTTAATCGTTCACTCTGAACTAAGCTGGAAGAATGACCCCTCCCCCTTTTCCCCTCCAACCCCCCTATTTGACATAGCCTAGTAGCAACTCAGTGTAGTAGTTAAGAGATTAAACTAAATCCAGGGAGCTTCCAGCTCAGGTCCACCTTCTGCCATGGAAACTTCCTGGGTGACTTTGGGCCATTTATGCCCTCAGCTCAACCTACCTCATTGGGTTGTTTTTGTGAGAAATAAAAGGTGGGAAGGCTTCTATGTCTGCCACCTTGAGCTCCCAGAGAAAAGGCAGATATAAGTAGGAATAAATACATCAGCAACTTGGGAATGGCAGTATTCAGAGGAGAACTTATGCTGGGATTATAGCAGAGAACAACCATTTATTTTTTAAAAAAACAATCCTTCACCTTTCTTTTATCTGTGGCTGTGATCTAAACTTTAGTAAAGTAGTGCCACAATGCCAAGTTGCATGCTTCTTGGGAAATATAATTTGTCCATTTTTTTATGCTCACCTGCCACTCAGGGTCCTTTCTGAGGATAAAATGAAAGACAAGATTCTGTGTATTCTGCAGCCTCTTAAAACTTCCCCAGCCATTATCTCAAAACTTGCTTCTCCTGAAGTGCATGTAATCTTAGAAGAGCATAAGGGGCTTTACCCTTAGCTCAAACCTACTAAACACTATTCCTTGACTCCTTGCTTCAGACAGAAACTTCACTTAGCAGATGTTCAAGATCTTCCAAATACCAGCACAAGCTAAACATGCCACTTTCTTGTTTGTTTTGGGAATCCAAGTTCTCATATTTAATTTCCAGCAGACTGTTCCTTGCTTCTGTAGCCACATGTTAAAAATAATTAATATGTACATACACTCCTCTTAGCAGATGTGAGTGTTGCAGCCTTGTCAGGCTTGAAGCTTAGGGTACAGTATGGCCATGTCTTGCTACTATGCTTTGTATTGTTGCCTTATCCTCTGTGAAATGTGGGAAAACTTGAAAGTGCATTTTTATAATAGAAAAAAAAGATCAGCATTGACTAAGTTAATAATGAAGTATGGCGTGCCTGCTGCCCTTACCACAATGTAGACAATCAGCACATGATCAGTGATGCCATTAAATGAATGTTTAATTTATTTTAGCAATAAAATAATTCTAAAGACCACCGTTTTCCATAGAGTTTATGCTACCATTGAGCGTTTTTACATGTACCTTTATATGTATTTATTTATTTATTGAATTTATAAGGCCACCCAATTCATAATTTATTAGTCTGGGCAGCATACATCAGTAAGAACCCAACAAATAGGATAATAAACTACACCAGTACACACATAGCCAAGGCTGAAAATAACAAACACTCCCTCTCATAACCAGGTGGGCCCAACTACCATCTTGTCCCAAGGCACAGGAGAAGAGCCAGCTCTTAACAGCTTTCCAAAAGACGAGTCGGGTCAGGAGCACCCACACCTCGGGTGGGGAGAAGCTCATTCCAAAGGCAGATGCCGCAACAGAGAAGGCATGGTCTCTAGGTCCCATTAGATGACTGCCTCGGGGAACCTAGAGCATGTCTATCTTGGGCAGCTGAGCTGGGTGAGCAGAAATAACTGAAGACAGGCAGTCCTGCAGATAACCCAGCCCTCAAAACGAGGGAGGAATTGCACTACATTTTCATTACAACTCTACATTTCATATATCGCTTGGGAACCCTTGGTATTAGAAATAATGAGTTTGCCATTGTAAATTGATCTCAACCATTTAATAACCTTGAGTGAGAAAACCACCTCAGACTTTTGACTGCAAGCAAACAAGCTCAGAGAGCACCAAGGATTTCACATTGGTCTCTGCTGCACATATATATTTCAAGTAATAAAAGTATAAAGGTATGCTGTTCAAATTTTCCACTTATAGTTACAGGTAATTAGCCTTCTATATCTGTATGGTTTTATTATTTTCAGATGATTGATGAAGAGGAAGTTAAACCCAGATGCCAGGTACTTACTGTGTGAAAGTGAGTGGTTTTGTATGAAGATCATTATATTAATGATTGATTAGCATTGTAGCTTGATTCTCACAGTAATAACACTTTCTCTGCTGAGCTTTACTGATCTGGTGCCTTCCAGATAAATGGGTACCACAGTAATTCTCACCAGCATAGGTAATGGCAGGTCTAAATTGTTTCAGAGGTGTTACTTCAGTGGTAACTTATTTCAGTTTTCTGGAAAATTGTTTGAATCTCTCCCTACTTTGTATTACTATCTGGTGTGTTAAAATTGGTAACAATATGGATTTCGACACCAATACTTGATCTTCACGGAAATTGCCGCTACAGATGTGAAATCTCTTCATGTTATGGAGGCTTCATGAAAAGTGTGCTCCATCTTGAAGCATGATGTGGACAACCAGTAAAGGAAGCAGATGTCCAGGTCGACCAAGGAACACATTGACTGATTCTTAATCTAAATGAAGTGGTTAAGGTGACTCTTAAGGTTGTTTTCCTCCCACCTTCTATATTTCACCTTCCTATAAAAGCTTTCCAGTATTCCAATCGTGAAAATCAGATTCCCTGGTAAGAGATACTGTACATAGGATTGCATTAGTAATATAGGGTATACCATATTTACTGAAAGAGGACACCTTTGAATTTAGGATGATCTCAGCTGCTAAGAAGAGTTGATAGAAACACGGGGAAAAAAAGTCCTGGGCAAAACACAGCTTCCCAATCTTGAGCGCGCATACCCAATCCCCTCCTAACAGAGAACCCAAAAGAAGAGCAGGATGGAAATGGAGCAAGAAAAAGAGCTGCACTGGGAAGGGAAAAGAGAAGCAGAGAACAAAATGGAAATAAGATAGGGAGAGGGAGGAGTAACTGGACAGGGAAGTGAAGAAAAGTCAGTAGCCTTGCTTAGATGTTACAAAGAGCATTAAATTCACTAGAACGGCCCTTTCCAAGCAACGGCAAATACTCTTTGCATTTATCCCTCCTTTCCCATACCTCTTTCTGCAGGAGTTGCTTTTGTTGCCTGTTGTTTTCCACAGCTGCTATTACCACAGAATACAAAAACTCATATGTTCATGGTTTGTTATTTGGGAAAGTCTCATTTCCATTTATCAGTTGTCCACTCATTCAAGGGGCTTTCTAAATCCAAGCTGGTATTGTTTGAAAAAGAAGAAGTGGAGGGAATTTGCAGATGCTTGCTTCTGTTTTTTAGCCAGGAAGAAGGACGTAGTAAGTAAAAGCGGTTATTGCAATTGGCCCATGCCTGTGGACTTTTCATACATCCCTCAAAACATGGTTCTGTCAACAGGCCTGGGGGTCCCAAGGGAATGGTGGGTTGCTGAGGTGGCTCCATTGTTGTTAATATCTGTTGCTCTCTCCTTGCCTTTTAATCATAATATTGCTTTTTTTTTAATTGTTGATTTTTTAAAATAGTGCTAGTTTGTAATTCTTTATTGTACGCTGCCCAGAGTTGCGTTTTGTGAGAAGAGTGGCCTGATAAATATGATAAATAAATTTCAGGGAAGCCCTGTCTGTCTACAGCACTCCTTCATGTCACTTCTGCATCTTGTAAGAATTGCCACCTTTTGTTTCTGTGCCAGCAACAACATATGAAAGTTTATTTCTTTATTGGGTTTCCCTTTCCCTCTTTTTCTCTAAAATCAAAGCCCCACCAGAAGAAATACACAGGTTAATAGACACAGTGCTACAGTGCCCCTAAAATCCAAGGGACTCTGCCCTTGTAAATAGATTCAAAGTGGACAAAGAATATTTTCCTCTGGTCCTGAGTTAGCCAGTGTTGGCTGAAAGCCCAACGTGTGTTGTATTGTGTACATTGGTTCCTATGGAGATGTGGAGAAGATCTTCAGCCAAGAGCAGTTCTGGCTTTTCTCAGAAGGGAAGGAT